TCTTCTTGCCAATACTAACACATGTACCATATTTCATTTTCGTTGTAACGAATACAGACACAAATCCTTGAGTCAGGTGAATGCGATCATCAGAAAAGACATTTTTGTCATTGGTTAGTGGCTGAGATCAGCGATTGGGCAATAGGGAGGCTCCAGATAGGCGGGTTTCAGTGATAACCTTTGACATTTCGCTTGCTAACAGTCGGCTGACGCTTGCTTCTCGCTATTAATTCCATCCGAGGCTGCGGATGCGACCGCGCGAATAAATACCAAGCGGTTTTGCAGAAAACGAAAGTTATCGCTACGGGACGAAACGGGAATCATTTAGGATTCCGAATGCAATTTTTTATGAAACCGTTTGCATAACAGGTCGTCTGAATACCTTTTTTTTTTTAATCCACCTTCCAAGAACCGCTTGACCCGGAGAGAAATCTTTCCACAGGGACTTTCTATGGGGCCATGATAATGGCAACAGTACACAAGTTTCACTTGTCTACAAGATAAGAATTACTAAAAATTAATTAGGAAATCTAGAAGACAATCCTGATTTCCAAAAAGCTCCTCAACGACACCTGCCCCAAAAATCTCATCCAAAATTCCTTAAGAAAGGAATATCTACACAAAAAACAACTTCAGATACAATTAAACGACTTCGCCTACATAAAAGACAGCAGAAGACGAAGAATCGACACAAATAAAGAAGATTTCAACATAAAAACCCCCTCGAGCCATAATGTGCCACTAATCATTCTTCACCCTCGACAACCATAAAAGAAAAAACCATCCCATCAGGAGATTTCGAAACTTCCACTATCACATCACTCCTACAGAACTCCCAATCGCAACTGGCCTAATTTACCCTCCACTGTAAACCCCCGTTCACCCCCGACCTGGTCCCACGCACGACGTACATAGGTTCACTTGTCCCGGTCGGTACACTTTACTTACCATCTTGCGCGATCCGATGTGGTTTCGGCTGTTCTCGAAATCCGAAAACTTGGCGTGACACTCAACACGTACACATGGTTCTCGCGGGTACGCTTGCCGAACCCGGGCGAGGTGACTTCTTCGTCCCGAGTCGCGCGGAGACCATTTATAGGATTCACCCGATCGGCAAGTGGGGGGCAGAGCTAGTACGGTCCATGCGATTATCGCGAGCCGACGTCCGCGGGAGGATGCTGTAACTCTTCCCAGGTGAACACAGATGCGAACGAGGGAGAAAGACCGCAGCGGACAGCAGCTGGTCAGAGCCGCGGACCGAACGCCGGCCGAGAGAGAGAGACGGGAGACGTGCCGAGAAAGTGAGAGTCGTCGAGAAGGACGGGACGATATACGAACCGTCTGAAAAGGTCCGCGTGGACGCGAAGGACGTTCGACCTACCAACGGGTCGATTTCGAAGAACTCAAGGACGGGAGGATCCGACTCGGCCCCCTTCGTCGCAGCTTCTTTAATTAAAGGGAGATCGAACCGCTTTGTTCACGTCGTCGTATGAGGCAATCCTACTCTTCTTCTTTTGATGGTATCACTCAAGCTCATGCTAATGGGGCAAATGCGATTTTGATTGCTGGTCACCGTACAAGTCGTCACTCTGTGGTTTTGTATGGTTTTGTGTGGTTTTGCGTTGTTTTGTGTGGTTTTGTGTGGTTTTGTGTGGTTTTGCGTTGTGTTGTGTTGTGTTGTGTTGTGTTGTGTTGTGTTGTCTTGTGTTGTCTTGTGTTGTGTTCTCTTGTGTTGTGTTGTGTGGTTTTGTGTTGTTTTGTGTGGTTTTGTTTGGTTTTGCGTAGTTT